CCTTAAGATATTTGTTTATCCATCTCCTGTGGTGTATGCATTGATTATATCAAATATTGCACCATTAATAGATTTCTATACTGGTTGTGTTAGACCTTGCCAAATTCCCAACATATTAAACAATATCAAATTAGTCTTAACAACTTAATCTATATCTTAATAATTTTGAAAATAAAAGGCTGGCCATCAAATATAAACTGACCAACATTTCTTCTATCTAATTCCCAAAGGGTACAGATAAGACGATGCTCTGAAGAAATGATTGAGACAGCTAGCCTTCCTACATTGAACACATTAATTAATCTTTAACTGGATGCTTGTCTACTCATTACTCCCAAGAGATTATTGGATCTGCACTATCTACCATAAAACATATAAAACATCAATGATTTTTTTCAGATTTAATGTCAGACGGGTTTTAATATGCAATTCATATGGACATGCTGATTCCACCCCCACCCCCATAAAATTAGTTTTTAAGTTCATAATATTATCAAAATAGTTTAATATGCAATATCAAATTAGTTTTAAATACTTTTCATCAAATTCATGTTAAAACTTAGGCTAGCGAACAAGAGCTATTTTTAATCCAACAGGCTAACCCCATTTGCCCAATTCCCAGGGGATATAGATAGCACCAATGCTCTACCAGCTACTCCTCACACTAAACTCATTAATTTCTCTCTCTAATTTTACGTGCAATTTTCTGTTATCAAAGTTCTTCTTGACCAGTGCTTGATAATTACACTCATGGTAGTGGTGGAATTTCTCTAACATACATTATATTTGTTATAGATTGCTGTCAAGTATATGCTAAAAAATAAGTATTTTCTTGATTTAACACTTTTTAATAAGGATGAAAAGTCACATTTTTGCAATACTCTACTATTTACATTTTTTGGAGTGTGTAAATGAAAAGTCACTACTGTAAAAAAGACACATTTTTTTAAAATTTCACTTAAATTAAAGGTCACAGTGACCTTGATTATATGTTATAGATTGCTGTCAAGTATATGCTAAAAAATAACATTTTCTTGATTTAACACTTTAATAAGGATGCATAAATTGGCCAAGTGTTGATGATTCTAAGTCTTAATAGTTTTCTAGTTAAATTGGCCAAGTTTGGAAAGGATTTTAATATATTTGGCTATAACTATTTAATTATAGGTCAGAGCGACCTACTTTTTGTGCACGACACAACTTCTACCCAAGATGTATCAGCTGACAAAGTTTGATAACTCTAGGCCTTATAGTATTAAAGTTACGAGCCGGACACGAGAAAAGCTAACAGACGGACAGACGGACGGACACGAAGCCTATAACATGATACGTCCCGTCTTAAGACGGGCGTATAAAAAAAAGTGCAAACTTTTATTTTTAGTTCATATATAATGATATAATAGATGAAATAATCTTTGCATAATGAAGGAGTAATTCGTCAGAAATGCAGTTTTAATGCTAATTAAACGAAATACGACCATTTAAGGTTAAAATATCCAAATTTCTGTATTAATTATTTTAAAATGGCGTTTGAAGACAACAAACACTAACCATACTTATTAGTCTAACAAAACAGGACAACTTGGGAGCAGAATAAACATAAATCTTGAAAAAAAAAATCCGAGTTGGGATCCTCCGGCGACATCCGCCGTGATCCCGCTTGATTATGTAATCCGTAGAAAAGTTTAGTAATCTATTAAAAAAAATACTTAGAAATTGCATTAAATACAACAGTCAGCATTGGAGCTCAGACTAGTTGATATTTAAAACCTAATCGAGTGGTCGATCATAGATTTTGAGAAATGCTGACAATAAGGAGATATGATTGATTGATTGATTGTTGTTTAACGTCCCTCTCGAGAATTTTCCCTCATTAGGAGACGCGACCACTTGCCGATGGAAAGCTGCAAACTTTGTCCTATACTCGGCAATCAGGACCATTGAGCAGGTAGGGATCTTTTTCGTGCCAGTACTACGACACGGGACCTCGGTTTATACGGTCTCATCCGAAGGACCTGTCACCACGTCCCACAGTAGGATTCGAACGCGGTACGTAATGATTAACTCCTTACTCCAGAGCAGACGCTTTTACCACTGCGCCACGCGGGTGTATTTTAAATACCATTTTATTATCAATTTAAGTTATCAATTATCGTCAATCCTCATTTTTAAAAACGTCGTACGCAGAAAAGTTCTTATGTACCAACACAACTGGAACATAAGCCAGTTCATAGGGAGGTATAAAAGATACTTTAAATTAGTAAAGTTATCCCTCTCGATAAAGCATTTAAACATGAAACAGACTTTGTTGTTTCTTTTACATTTGTCCAAAATCTTTTACATGAAAAGAAGAAAACACTTGCTGTGACCTTCAACTCAACATTAAGATATATTTGGCGATGGTTGTTTCCATTCTTTTGTCGATGCAGTATATCCCATGGGCTTGAGATGGAGGATGCCGTGGGGTCTGACGCGTCTGTTTCATGTTTGGATGTTTTGCTGCTTTGCTTGGGGGGGGTGATCGGGCAGCCAAGCTTTGTGATACAGCGTCTGACACATCTGTTTCATATTTGTATATTTTACTTGAAAAAGACTTTAATGGTAATTTAACAACCAAGCTCTATGATAATCGCGATGACTTTAACCTTTCAATCGCCAACTTCCATTGCTTATGCAGCAATATACGTCTACCTTCATTACCTGCATACAGGATTTATATCTCTCAGTTGATTCGACACACAATAGCATACTCTACGTATGAACAATTTCTAAAACGAGGTATATGATTGACAAACAAGTAAATGAATTATCAGCAATCTCGTTTAAAGTCATCATTTCGTAAGTTCTAAGGTCTATGTGGTCACCTTGTCAGCAACTACAATTTATCATTGAGTCAGGTGCTGACTGACGTTTTTCATACTAATTGTTGGGCCATTTTACACGCTGAGTTGTCGGCTTATTTTTCCGTTGTTTCCCGGTCGTGGCAGGGAGCATACGGCGAATGTAAACGGTCAGCGGGGGATGTTTGCTCTTCGATGGCGCCTGATCCCACCTCAGGTGTATTGGAGGTCCGTGTTTGATCTGCTCCTATTTTGTATTGTTTAATGAACTTTCGAGCTTGAATACTGTTCGTTATATCCATATACTTCTCGTAAAACTGAGAATTATAAAACTATATTTTATCAAGGTTTGAATGAAGACTCATAGATTAGCTTAAAATAAAATCATTGATATAATGCTAATGACCTTTTCTGAAAACCGCATTGCTAAGAGCGTTTGCCCTTGATTCGCGGAGTATGGAGAAAATTCTTGTGTAGCGGCTCGAATCCCGCAGGGACCTGGAGACTGGTCCTTTGGAGGATACCGTATAAACCGAGATCCCATTTCTTAAAAGGTGCCGACACGAAAAATATCCTTCACTGGCCAAAGGATGGATGTTAAGAATAGGTATAAATTTATGGCCTTCCAATGAAATATAATTGAAAAATGTTTCGAATGGACATTAAAAAAGCAAATCAAATAAACAAGAAAGCTTTCCACGGTAGTATCATACATATATTGAACTAATTTACATTCCAAAATGGCTAAGTTTGAATAATGCAAAAGTTCAAATTTTTGTTAGTTCATAAAAGATTCAGAAATCGCTTCAGCGAAAGAAGTAAAATAAACCAATTGTCGTCAAAGTTATATGTCCTGTAGAGATCACTCATTCTTTTTAATCCAAAACAAATTATACCTGTTGAAAAAGCGGATATAGGAATTAATCACGAATGGTTTGTAACCAACAGTTATTAATCTGCAAAGTGTGAATTTGCCAGGAGCGCTTTGGTCGATCAAAGAATAACAGCGAAAATTGATATCCGAAATCTTCCCGATTTATCTAACGCAATGCGGCATAACAGTTATTTAAGTCAAATGTGTCGAAAATCGCAAATTCAGATTGTTTTAATTACTGTTGAAATCATATATCTATAACAAAACCACACGTCGACGCATGCTTTCTTTAATTTGTCAAGAACCCTCTTGGAAATGTGAAATATATATCCTCAGATATTCCAATATCTAGGAAATGCAATAAATTGATTGTTTTCCCGTATTCATTTAAGATTATGAACTTCTGTAACTTAAGGCTGTAGGGGACACCGGAGTAAATATTTATGGTCCTTAACATTGAGACAAATCGGCGTGACGGAGTCGATGAAATATTACAGGAGAGTCAAAGCGCCACATCAATACTAGAAGAGAGACTACTTCCCAGCCGGCTTTTACTTCACAATCTTTTCTTCCAGCAATGGCGTTTTCTCAATACTTTTTGCAATGTACAAACTCATAAGAACTGAGTGAACATCTCGTGACATCGCGGATCAAATTACTTTTGCATATTGCTGCTTCTTTTGTACAATCAAAGCATAGAGTCTTTTGATTTCTGAGCTAATTGATATTTTTAAAAATTATTTAGTGTAAAAGAACAAGATTATTACTTTCATCACATATCAAATATATGTAGAGCATGACCGACTCTAATTTTTCCACCTAAACATTGCTAAAATATTTCCGACTCGGCGTTAAACAATAAACAATCTAAGTACGTATTTTGCTTATTTGAAAAAAAAATACACACATGTGTGATTCTTGTAGGTATTTAGAAAAAAGGAATGAAAAATAAATAATGTATAATGAACAGAATATTCGAGATTCTGAATGTTTTATATTAAGGAACATATCAAGAGAACATCCCATTAGTTACACCATTATTCATATCTTTACAGCGATACGCCAATTGCTCGTCTAGACCTTTCCCTTTCTGGACAATTTATAGAGAAGGTGATCAAATTTCAAATCTTTTTTCAATATCCGACCGTTTCTTACCTGTACATGTCCAAATATAGAAATTGTTAAGGGTGGAGTTATTCGATTATTGGTTGAATCTAATTTATGTATTAATTATTCAAATGATCTATGATTCTCCTTTAGTTACGTTGTAACTTTTGTTTTCACAGACCAAACTATCAGAGAAAGCATTGCGTGACGTCACAGACAAAACGTGGGAGCTGGGAACAGTGTTGTATAAACCTTGGTACACATTGATACCCAACATTTTGAAAAGTTCCGGGGACTAGGAAATTGGGGATGATTTAAACGTTATATATAGAAATAAAGCATTGTGTGCAACGTTTTCGAAAAGCAGTGGACGACTACTTGTGTTCAATTTTTATTTTCAATCAAGGAAACACGAATTTTATAGAAAACTACCTCAAAAATCAGAAAAGGTAAGTATTTTTGAAAAAAAAATACTTAGAAATAAAACTACGTTTTATATAAATCAAATATTTTAAAGAGTATATTACAGTTTGATATTTCTGCAACCACATATTTCATCAGTTTTGTTCTAAAAATAAAAAAAAAATAAATAATAAACTTTGACATTGAACAATATATTGGCAAAGATGTTCTTGTATTCTTTTAGCATGCTTCACATAAATAAATAAATGCCAAAATAAGGACTTTTGTATTTTCTCCTAAATCTTACTTCTTCAGGGAGGTACATGGATTGAAGCAAAATATTGTCTGCCATAATACACAGTGCGAAGAAGCATATTTCTAATTTCTCTTTGCAAAACCTCGCCTAAAGTTCCAATATAATAAAATATAGACACGTGATAGACAAACTTACTGGTGATAATTTACTTGATGTTCATTTCTATCGCATTACATGGCAAGTGATAACTGATTCAACATATACCAATAACCTAGGAAACCATTATATATGCTGAAGCATTCTCTTGTTATACACAGAAAGAAAATGCTCTTGCGTCATTCCGTCTGATGAAAATAAAATTAGGTAAGATTAATGTATTCAATAAATTTATCTAGACTTACGTAATTCTACAATATGACCATTTTAATTAAGAGTGTATATTCATTAATTTTTTTTTCCTTATAAACATGATTAAAATTAAACTTAAAAGCAATTTTGAGCTTAACTGTAAATCTAATTCGTAAATATGATCATGGATTTACTTGGAGTAATAAAACTAAGCATATGAGCGAGTAAGAAAAGGTGTTTCAAATCTTACTCGGAAAAGTAATTGAAAAACTATAAATTGCATACAATTATTGTGTAGTTGTAGGACTGTATCAAATGTATACATGTAGTCGAAATGGGTTTTCAGTGTAGAGTTTCTTCGAATAGCCTGCTACATGTTATAGAAATATTACAAAGACTGTCTATTCTGAAGTGGTCCATTGACATAAATAATTCCTCAAAGGAACACGAACACAGAAGAGATTTCAAAAATTACATTAATGATCTAATAAAAATACTTTTAGATATAGGCCAATAGAAGACATGGAAATGGCATCCATGGGACGCCTTAATTGTGAAAGACATTGTACTCTCTGTAATAATCACAGGCACTTGTTTCGGAAATGATTTTTTAACCCATAGTATAATAATAACAGAAGCTATCTAACTCCGAATTACACGAAATACCCCCTCCACAGAAACGCACTCATTTACACTTTCAGATTAAATGCACTGGCAAACTTTTTAATACCATTGTCTTTTACGATAATTTATCTACACAACCATATACGACATGCATGTCTTTGTTTTCATTTATCTCCGTAAACAGCGTCAAAACTCTGTCCACCGAGTGGAAAGTGGAACTCAACCACGAAACGGTATGTGCTAATCCCGCACGAAGATTTTGATTGGCTAAAAATCAGTATCTAAAATTACATCAAAAAAATGTCGTAGTGTTTTTATGAAAAATGAGACGTAATCAAATTTTCTTTATTCAATGCAATATTTTAAATCTGGAATTGAATTTTTTAACTTACTGATTTATTTAATTTTGCTCTTTGTCCGAGATTAGCACATACCGTTGGGCAGGGGATGTTCACATGGCACCTGACCCCAATTCTGATGTTTTTGAGGTCCGTGATTGCTATGTTCCAATTTTGAATAGTTTAAAGAAATTTTGAGCTTGAATAGTGTTCGATATCTCCATATTTTTCATGTAAAATATTCTAATAAATATAATGAATTTTTAACTGGGCAATCATAAGTGAAACACCTTAAATTATTAAATTAATAGAACTAATGTTCAATCAAAAGGTAAAATAAATACCTTTGTCAATCTCTGTATCTTTAATTTATAACGTGTCTTCCTTTGTTTTGTTTTTTTTTTGTTTGTTTGTTTTTTGTTTTTTTGTTTTTTGCGTGTGTTCACCTATCCATTATATCTCAGATGAAAGAGGCGAAGATATATAACGAAAAATAAAGATTTCAAAAATCTTTAAACAATACAAATTTGTGAAGAGGAAATAAATCACTGATCTATGGAAAATTTAGAGGTGAAATACAAATACGCTGGCCAGGAGGGGTAACAAAACCCTGTTGACCGGATTCACCTGCCTTGAGCCCTGTGTATTGATAGAGTAAACGTAACATTCCGTAGTCAAATTCAGAAGACAATCAAAGGCTTAGCAATGTGTATAAAACAAGTAAGTCCAAAAACGATCAAATGATAGGTTACACAAGATCATTATAAAGCCCATAGAAATGAAATGCCGACTTTAAACGAGAATGTTGAAATCCCTGTAACATTAACTTATCTATCAGTACCTTACCTCGGTTTGAAAATATAAATCATAAACAAAGAGTCCTCTTGAGTATTGAGTATCGGTATGTCTGGGGAGCCTGGTCTTAACAGAACAGAAAAAACATAATTTAACCCACAGAAAACACATATTTTAACCCACAGAAAACACATATTTTAACCCACAGAAAACACATATTTTAACCCCATTCGTCCAGGGAGTAAAAAATTAGTTTAACATCTTCAAGGCATTATCATTCTAAAAGATGATTTGGCTAAAGCTTACAATATAAAAGTTGTATGAGGAAAAAGATTTACAGGCGATCCAAAATAAGAAAAACAAATTCTTAACTTTCCTTAGAAAGTGCAAATCGAATGAACAAACAAGGTTGATTTTCTCTTCCCATCTCTTTTAAGGATGCTACTAGTACATGGATAAATTTATTGGTCTTTAAACGTACATGTTTTAAGAACTTTAAATCACATTAAGTTATTCAATAGCAACAGATTCAATGAGATTGAATACATAACATTACAGATATGTAGATGTTGAATACTTGGTTTATTTAGACACAAATTCCATTGATTACTATTAGCATGTAAGAGTGGGATGTGTCCTATTTATGACCTTGAATTTTAGTAAGAGTTATTTTACTTTATTTTTAATTAATAAAAAATTCAATTTTAGAAATTTTATCTGATTAAAAAATTGCTGTCATTTTATTTCCCATGTTTCTAATGCATCTTTCCACCACAGTTTATTGATATTCATATCATATGAATTTTTATTTTTAAAAAAACGCTTTCCCCCCATATATTTCAATGAAATCTTTGTTTATTAACTACTGCTTCGTCAATAAAATTTTGGAAACTTTCTCGCAGGCAATCCTTTACTACTATAAAATGCTTTAATTAAATATCAGAGTATTATGTACTTGACGGACATTTAAGGGTAGAGAATTTGGTCTTATTAGGAATGGAATTCCTTAAATAAAAAATAAATCCTAAACATAAGATGAAAACAGATTTATAATACATTATTAAACATCCTGGTTTTTGTTCATTTCGTTGCAAAATATACGACTAGGTTTAACGATCATGTGCAATAAATATGTCGATTTTCCATGAAAGGTAACACCTTTTGAATAAAATACCATCTCTTCATTTGTGTGCTTTGACAATGTCAATGGTTTAATCGACAGCAGATCACATTTTATTACACAATTTATCAACTATTATCTGGTTTGTCATTCTCTTTAAAAAGTATAGTGTTGAATTTCTCATGGGGTTAGAAGCATGAACTAACATTTTTTGCTAAAGCGGTTAACAAATGTTGAAATCCACAGATGAAGTATACAATATGATTTTGAGCTGTATAAATTGTCATTTGACACACAAACATCAATATCCATTCGAGAATGATTTAATTAATTGGTATTCTTTTGTAACTTTATTTAGATTTCCCGATCACCGATAATTTAATAAATAAATTTCTACTTGGGAACACAATAAGGTTTTTTGAAAATATGTTTACTAGATAATCTACATTTCATCATTGAATAATTTTACATTCTTAAATATTTTAAAAGCTTAAGGAATTATCTTTTGAATTCTTGCCATTTTGTAATACCCAGATGTTGTAATTAAAAACGTATCATCAGTCAAACTCAATCCCAAAAACATAATAGCTGAATATATGCCATGTATAATCTTTTTTTTACAATAGAATGATGAAATACACCTCAAAATGTTTGCCATAAAAAGCACCTCTCTTTAGAACCCGTGAAAAATAAAGATAAAAGAACGCAACTTATCTAATAAGCCCAACAGAATGGGGCGCATAACCTCCTATTTTACTCTGTGACTTGTAACATTTTGATGTATTGTCCTATGATACATGACAAAATATCAGATATTTGATGCTTTTCTTGACTCATCACTGAGACATGTTTTAACCCTTGACGTCCATAGGCACTTGTTTCTGTAACGAAAGTTTATTCCATAGTAAATGGCACTTTAGGGTGATGTTTTATTACAAAAAATAGTGTTTATGTTGAGTCCCTAGGGAAAAGAAGAAAAATATGGCTAAAATCCAACAGAGGACAAGTTGGCCTAGTATAAGATCCTTTCAAAAACGTGATTGTTATTTGTTTCTTTAGTGCATATTAAAATGTGAAAAAAATATATATGACAAATCCCTTTCGTATAATACCTTTCCAAACATGTAGTAAGACTATTATTATACAGTTAGTTTTTCTCCTTCAGAAAGAAGATGGTAAAAGTGGTGTTGGTGACAGTGTTGTTGACAATATGTGTGATAGTGGACTGTTTCCCACAAACTAACACAAAAATACGACAAAAACGAGGATTCAGACAGAGTATTGTAGACAGAATGGGACACGGATTTGGAAAAAGAGCAAACACAGATATATACGACACTTATCTCACAAAAACCCCGTAAGTACCTTAACCAAAGCATTATTTAACACGAAAACCAAGCAGTAGTGATAATAAATTTCTTTTATTTTATTGTGTTAATATCCTGTGACAGAACGTAAAATCATTTAAGCATTCGTCATTGAAGTATCATTTAAGCCTTTATTGTACCCTCACTGAGAAGAATTCAATAAATGAGATTTTATTGAGTTAACCCTATTGAGCAGTAAATAACATAGAAAAACAAAAGATTTCGTCACAAAAGTAACATCTAATGATGAAACCTTGCTGTTCAGAATCTAATAAATACAATTGATTTCAAATACGTAGAAGTGTCAACTTAAAGTTCACAACATTTTAAAGCATCAATATTTCTTCGCCCTGATTTGATTAAACCATTAATTTTATCCATCCAAGATGAAAGGTTCAGACAATGAACTCATTCTGATAAAGAAAGTATTTTTCTCGTTATTAAGAAAATTGTTTTGATCTGTTTCCCTACCAGTTCACATTTGAAAGGTCATACATGAAGGTCCAGGTTTTTAAAGTGCAGTGGAGATGATTCGAAAATGATGTGACATATTTATGAAACTTTATTACAGATAACAGAAACCAATTTGAGATAGTCTAGCAAAAGACTTACATCGTGGGTACCTTAATATGATTATGACATATTGGGAATTTATTATTGCTTTCTTTTTACGCAAAAATTGATATTCAAATGAAAGATCAAATCAATTGTTTTGTTTCATCTTGTCTGAATTTCCGAGCTAAAATCGCCAACAATGTATTCTATACTTAACCACTACTCTGATGTTATAATGGATAGATGTAATTAGATACTCCATAAGTGTTATATATTGGAAGATTTTCTTTTTATGTGCCTCAGCCTCTTTCAGACTTGGCAATTAAAAATTATATATTAGTTTTACAAACACAATTTGACGTATCCTTAGCATATGAGATATCCGTGTTCGAGGTATAAAAGTTCAACATTTTTTTTTTATATAAAAATGAACGTACATGTAAATGATTGACAAACGTATGTAGAACTAAGTGTATTGTTTCTGTTCGTAGGACTTTGGAGCTCTTGAGGAAAATCATTTTTTCCCAACATGAGTAGAAATCAAATCAGTAAAGATAACGAACAGTAAAAGATTTATTTTAAAAAAATCAGCAAATAGTGTTAATAGGTGAAGTGAATAAAACAGGGACCTCCAGAAATTCCAGGGTGGGTTCACGTGGCAAGTATAGGAGTACATTGAAGCATTGAAGAGTCCTATGAATGATGTGATATGCGCAGCATTCTATTGTTTGTTTTGAAATATCAAGTCTCAATATTTGAAATGAAAATGAACAGCCTAAATACGACCCCATGATAGGTTATATTTGTTATCAAGGTTTTTATAAGTAAAATAGAATTTACAAAATGTTGACTTAAAATGGGTTGTTGAAATCTCTGTAACATTATCTTATCTACCAGTAGCCTACGTGTCCAAGAAATTGTTGAACTCAAAGCATAATTTTGAATATGGATGATGTAAACACCATTTGCAGGTTAAAAAGAAATAATGCTTTATAAATAAGGAACGTTGGCGTTTGAGAAGCTGTCATTTAAATTAAATGTTAGTTTGTCCTTACCGTTTATCATCAACATAGAAATAAAATCTGCAGACTCTATAATGTCTTTAATTTTAATTTTCACTGGGATATATTTAGTCAACAATTGAATGGAAGATACGAATGTTAATTTAAAAAAAAAATCGTTAATATAGGGTATATCTGAATGCTGACTTAAGACCACAGCAAGTGTTTTTATGTAGCATTTAAAAAAAATAATAAATTCTACTTCGTATGAATATAAACACAGGTCAGCTTATAAAGGAGCACCATTAGTGTCCATCGTATTTCCAACAGTTTGTAAGAAGACCTGGTTAGATTGATTTCAATGACCAATCACAATATTTGAAAATTTCCAAATTCTGATTATTTAAAAAAACCAGATTTCTAATATCAAAAACCTGGATTTTAAGTTACCATGATCAATGCCTGTAAGTGCAAATAAAAAAGAAGCAGGTTCTGGTGTTGCTTAAGAATACTTTAGATATATGAAAAAATTGGAGATTTTTAAAATTTAAACAGAGCTTTACTCAAATGATTTTGAGAATCCGTTTTTGATATGCATTTTTTCTAAAATATGCTATAACATAGTATGTTAACAATTTTTTATATTTGTGTCTATCTGTTTGATATTTTACAGTGTATTACTCCTATACTTGGTCTATATCATACCACAAATATTACACGCAATGTCTCTTAGAATTTACGCCCCTAATGGGCCTGTCTGGCACGTTAATCCTCTCTTAATCAGTTTATTACTACAAATAATTTGTCTATAGTTGTTTTTAATCACTTATTTTTATCTGCAAAAAGGATTTTCAATGAAATTGGTCTGTTGCTTTGCCTTTTAAAATTAATTTTTATTTCTACTGAACACATTTCTTCGTTTTGTGTAAAAGCTTTCTGATTAAGAAAGAGAGAATCTGAATCACGTTTCGGTTCCAAAATTCACCGTAGACAACACTACTGTACAAAGTACAAGGTCGACGGGGGATGCTTACTCCCCCATGGCTCTTGGTCCCACCTCTGATGTTTTCAGAGATTTGCTCTTAGGTATTGTTTCAGTGCTTTTTTAGCATGAGTACATATCGCTGTTTCTCTATATTTCATTTAAAAAGATGCTTCGATAATAATTACAAATGTCGTTGTATTGAATCCCATTCTAGAACAATCTGCTTTTTCATTAGGAAAAACAAAATTTCTGGATCATGTGTCCGTTCAAATGTTCTCATTAGACAAACAAAAGTTAACCAATATTTCAAGTATCTAAATGGAAAATACGGCTAGAAAGTCTCTAATTTTAAATATGTGTTCTAAGAGCGATAGTTTCCATCAAATATTTAACGACACTAATTTCAATCTCTTCACCTTTAATTGATCCAGTGAATTGTTTTTCGATATCCACATAAGGGGGTATAAACATTATATTGATCCAATCAATTCGTCCCGTATTAATGTTTGGGTACGGACAGCCTGATATGCCTTTTTGCCATGTTTCGGCTAGTATTACTTCCATTGTGATGTAAATATTTGAGTTTCATCTGAGCTTAAGATCAAATGTAATGAAAAGTTTCAATATAATATGATTTATTCAAATTGGATTTCAATTGAAAAGTTGATAAAACTCTGCTCTTTATCAAACCTAATTCGTTACTGCTACCTGTAATTGTCAAGAGTGAAAAGGATCAAGTGTCGAGTTTATGTTTGCTTGAAGATCTTGTTTATCAATCTTTAAAACAAGATCTTTTTATCCATGCTTGTTATTTAACTAATAACTAATAACTATACATTGAGCAACTATCATTGTATTTACTTATTAGATCCATATAGTAATTTCCGGACATGAAAAATAGCACACGGCGGGTGTGACCGGTCGGCATGGGATGTTCACATCTCCATGACATCTGATCCCACGTCTTCTGTTTTATAGGTCCGGGTTTACTCGCGCCTATTTTGTAATGTTTAATGGACTTACGAGATCTAATACTGTTCGATATCACTACATATCGCGTAATATTGAGAAGTGATAAGAATTTTCCAAGTAATGAACCTAAGATAATTTACACTAATTTAGGCTTTTATATGTACGTGGGTTGTTCCAGAATATTAATATTAATACTATTCCACCAAAACTAATAATTTTTTGCATGCTGCTGGAAAATGGTCTTTTTGTTATTTTGACAAAATATCATAGGCCTGCCAAAAGCCTTCTTAAAAACCGCTATCAAACAATCCGATCAAACAAACTGTCTATGAAAAGAATTAACTCTGCAATCTTTAGGTAAAACTATAGTATTTGAGATGTTTAACTTAGTAACTAAAAGAAAATTACATACATTGCCGAATTTATCCTTAAATGAATTTTATTTGAGGCACAGTTTCCAGAACAATTTCACAAACACTAAAAGCAACATTTTGGCGTCGTCAGTGTTGCGCCGACAGCTAATTTGTTAGATTCGTTTACTTGAGAGGAGAATGTGGTTTATAGAGATACTTCATTGAAAATTTCAAGCATTTTCAAAAAATGTTGATTATGATTTAAGCCAATTTTTAAGTTGATAGTCTTAGTGAAACAAAAGATTTTGAAAATGTTCGCGTTTTTCTGGGACAACCCTCAAATATTTTTCAATTTCAGTCACAAAAATAGCTATTGTAAAGATCAAATTTCTCTCTGAATGGGGGACAAAAATAGCCCAAATCATATATATTTATGTATATTTTAATCATCAAATTAATATTCGGGATTCAGGTTTGTAAGCATTTTTTGTTTATTCATTGATATTCTCCTATGTTTAATGGGATAACATGCTTTGCTGTGTGATTGCATACGTTTTTATAAAGTCACTCGGCATTTAATTGAAACACAAATATTGTAAGACAGTCCTTTTCGGCCATGAATTAACTTATAAACATTACACTTGACGGTGCAGCATATGCATGCATATGTGTTATATTTATGTCACAGATTATGTTTATGTTTGGCTCACGGTGTAAATGGGTGATATAAAGATCAAATTACAACAAATAGTCACTTAACTTAACAGCATCGACTCTTTAGTATTTATCAGAAAAAATATCAAACAATATAAATAACAAGTATTTTTATTATTATTTATAACTTTATTTTTAATGAAAAAAGAGAGAGAAAAAACAACGAAAAGAAAGCAAAAATAAATGTCACATAAAAAATCAGAAAATAATTCGAATACTTTGATTATTCATCAGTGAAATTTTATATCTGAAACTGAAACGATTCAAAAACATAATAATGTGCCGGTTTTTTGCATACATGTATCAAGCAAATAAGTCTAAAACAAAAGTGTACTCTTTGTAGGATAAATTTGTTGCAAAAATCTGTTTAAAAATTAATAATCTGTATCAATAAGCAATCTAGTTTATTGTTGATATATTTATAAACAAAGCCTGTATAATTACTGCTTTTCTGTTATTCTATCTTTGCCTAACTTTAATTAAGATGGTAGGGTGTACCCCTGGTGATTTTATGTGTATAGTAATCCAACTTAACAGCATATCTTTATCTCTTTTGACAAGATAATATTTAAAAAGTGAAAATACTTGGCCAAGAAATTATAAAATTAATATTAAAAACGTTAATATATTCCATAGTACATATGAATATATAAATCTAAAAATTCTTTTATATCTGCAACTATGTAATTTGCATGGACATTTGTAAATTATCTTACTATATTAAGGAGTGGGTATAAAATGATTTTGATTTTCCAAATTTAAAAAAGAAGTTTCTAATTTAAATTTTCAATGTACAGATCATTGTGAACAATGTTTGGTCCTAGATTTATCTTTTCATGTGGTAAATTGACTCTGTGGAATGCATTTAATAGGCCTCAAATAAACTATATGTAGAAAAAATATCTCTCTTATTGCTGGTTCATTCATTTCATTCATTGCAAGAAAATAAATGAGTTTGGGAAGTAGCAATTTACTCCTCTGTTCCAATTACAGACATTTAAAAGTCATAAATCTTCTAGATGTTAATTTTAGAAGTTTACAATGAAATAGTACTTTGGTAATAAAAAACTTGAGATTTTCTTTGTGTACGGTGACATAATTTGTTCCAATAATAAAACATTTTCAATAAGGTATGAAAACATTTAGCAGATAGAAACATTATTGACATTGTTTATTTCTCATGAATGAGACAGCCTAAATTAAGGTAAAACTTTTTTTTTTACTGACAACTACATTTCGATTTTTATTTAATCACATACACCGGTAGTATTTAAATCGTTACACCTTTTAATGAAATAACTAAATTAAAGATAACGAACAGTATGCATGCTCAAAAGTCCATTTAAACAAAAGAAATTGTGAACAGAGGAAACACGAACTTCTGGAAGTAGGGGGTGAAAGAGAAGAGTGGCATTCAATTTCTATTACCACATGTATTTTGAATGAAATCTATATTCATTTTTCCAAGAAATACTCACATCGCATTGTGCTTTTAAAAGCAACCATATGCAAAGGACATTAATGTATGTAATTGTAATATGCATAAGATGTTGGTAAATTCCCCTTATGATCTGAGTTATAAATGGAAAAAAATAATATCGAATAAGCAGTCTTTATTGATATATTTATATTATTTTAATACATCTAGTAGTTTTGGAAAAGGTTGGCAAATAGATTGTAATATGTAGCTTCCCCCAAAATATTGATGCCTTTTTTTTCATTGTTTACTTTGTTTTCCAATTCTCATATGCAACAATCTTTATATTTACAAGAGATTTCTTTCAACCTTGAGCTTCTGGTAATCGTTTTAAATTTGTTGCGCATGGAAAGTCTTTGTAATATCTATAATTACCATCAAAGACTTGATTGTTTTTCCACTGCCATCAAAAGATCGTTAAAAATGTTCAGGTATGGACATCAGTTTAAGGTTGACGACAATAAAGATTAAAGGGTGGATAAACTGAACTTTGAAGAAGGAAAAAGGATGTCTGAAGTCGAGGAATTGATATTGACAAATACATAACCTTTTTGGTTTACTTCCGTTTGATTTCGAAGACACCGTGACGTCACTGATATCTTTAGCCGCCATTAAGTGGCTGTGTGGTATTTCTTGGAGTCGTCTCTTTGCTGGATGTTCTCGTGATAACTATCACCAAATGGTTTTCCCCTTCTTTCCGTTTGGACTTAATACAGAATTACGGTCATGATATTTGACGTCTGAAGTCTTCATTATCGCTGAAAATAGCTAAATTGTAGTAAATCAATTTCATCTAATAATTTTTGTTAAAAGAGCAATATATTGTACTAGACACATCAGAAAGAAACATCAAATTTCAGGAAAAATAATAAACATTTTTTGATGAAGTTTTCGTAGAGATTACTTGGTTTATCAATATTGTTTTATGAACAATATTTTTAAAGTAAATCTGGAACTGAATTTGTTTTCATCTGTTTTCCTTATCAATGCTCGTGCGTTGTAAGCTGATTCACTGTCATTGTGAAGTGCACCTTATAAATCATAGAAATATAAATACATCTAGAAGCTGAATCTAATGTTGTTAGATTTAGTCATTTCATTCATGCTCTTACTCAGTGATGCTGTCAATCATAAATAACTGATATTTAATGGTATTATTTTTTTTTTAATTCATTTCTTGATACTACATGATTGTATTAAAAACATAAAGTGTACTATAAATATAACAGGTTCTGTCGACAATCTTGCGTTATATTTGTAATTTAAGAGTTTATATTCAATTTCTTACTTCCTTTTCCTTTCACTTTCAGGGATCTAATGACAGTTGACGAATTAACGACGAATATATTAGATAGCGAAGAATTAGCCAGAGCGATAGTGAAGAAATTTATAGATCTTGATGGTAGGTTCTCTCTTTCCTTCTCTCTCTCTTTCTCTCTCTCTCTCTCTCTCTCTCTCTCACTCTCTCTCAAGTCGATATAAAAAGGCAATTATAAATTATTTATATTCAATTGAGATACTTTTCTTTGATTTCAGGGGATGGAGTCATTTCTACTACGGAGTTATTGCGACCCACTAGCTAACCGTTATACCTGATATCAAAGGGGGTTACTTGACCGTAATCAGTTTCAGCAATACAGTGCAGCTAGACATTATAAGCTGACAAAGACAACATGCAAATATACATATCTTACAACATTGAAACATGAAAGGTACTAATTGGTTAAGGGCTTGGAAAGTGTGATATTTAATTTTGTAATATTTTGTATTGTTTAAATCTTTAATGATTACAATTTATAACATTTCTTTGTCTCTTAAGAAATTTTAAATTTGACCAAAATAATGCTCTTCCTTATCAATATTTGTGAAACGTGCGCTTAGATATTAGAGTTGTAAACTCCCTTTTAATGCGATATACGGTCCCATTGTTAATTCGCATTTCAAAAAGGGTTTCATATACATTTACTTAAGTTTATTATTTTATTTTGTGCAATTTATCTGGTCTCTGTTAGCTATAATGTGTAATAAACTGCAGATAAATGTCTTCGTCTTTTTTTATTTGTTCATTTGTTTACATTTCAACTTAAGGGGGACTATAGTTTCCATTGCGCAATATATATTTCGCGCATCATAGTAAAATGAAGAGTATTTATTGTTTTAATGCAATTAAAATTCGCTTAATTATTAAAATTAAACAAAATTAAGAAATTGTAGATATAAAAATGTACTTACAATTTGATATAACTGATTTTTTAACCGATTTTGCAAGTGATAGGTAGGTTGACGTCGTTGCAGTGTGCTTTTGACGTTATGATAATCTGTACTCTTAAAGAAAGGGGAAATAAAAATATTATTAAAGAAAAAGTAATAAACATAGCTCTTGAAATTTAAATCATAGAAATTTGAGAATATCTCCAATATTTTTATTATGTTTTCATGTGAATCCATTGTGTACGTCATAATTTGTAATACTCTATAACAATAGTAAAATTTGCTAATTTTTTGCATTTTGAGATGCCCTCTCTGGTAACAAGACGGTAGAATTTTGTGTTTCTTACATATATTGTATAACATAGTATTACTCATGAAATATTATAGTTTGAACAAAATGGCTATTGTAGTATTTGTATAATTTGCTTTAAAGTGCTAAAAATGGGCATTTTCCTATATAATCCTATAGTAATTGTACCCGTATTTTGAGACGGTCCCTAATAAATACCTGGACGATTGATTTCCCCCAAACTTTGCATGTACCCTGAAGTTAATGTAAGTTTTATACGGTATAAAAATGAAGAGTTTCGCTATTGTAGTTTTCACACAATAAAACTATAGTCGGCCCCCATAAGAGATTATGACTGCGATTCCGTTGTGAAAAGGTTGAAATTTACTTTATTTGTAAAATGATCGATGGTGAAACATATGAGTACTTTGCGTTGCCTCCAGTTCTGTATCAAAGAGTTACTTTTGATTAATTTTTTTATTATGTGATACTCAAATTAAAAATAAATTGTTTACAAGGTAGTTCGCTTTTCCAGAAATCTATGAAGTCCTATTTGTCTACATCTCTTTCAATGAAGATAAATATTTAGAAAAAGAAATTTTTAGAAAACTCCAATCTGTGTTCAGGCCAATTAAACCGCAGTCGCTCCCAGGGAGAAAACATGTAACCAGATAATTAGTTTGCGAGCTCACATACTCTGTACACATATGTTTTGTTTCAGGTGAAAGCACGATTGGAATTTGAAAAATGTAAGATAAAGAAAAATCTTCAAACAATACTAAATCTGTGAAAAGGGCATGAAATACGGACTCCCTGGAAATTTCAGAGGTGGGATCAGGTGCCTAAGAGGAGTGAGCATCTCTCTGTTGACAGGTCTCACTCGTCGTGAGCCCTATGATGACCAAGGATACATTACATATGTCAAAGCTAGTTTAAAGAAGAGGCTATGTATGAAACAAATCAGCCAGATAGGTTTTATTTGCTAACGAAAGTATTAAAACGAGTATAGAATTTACGAAATAACTTTAACTAGGTTGTTCTTTGTTACATCAACTTATCTGTCAGCCACCTGCCTCAGTTTACTAAAAGCATGCTCTTGAGCATCGAATACGGTACTTTGAGAGATGTTAACACCACGAATAGGTTATAGTGGAATTTTACTACATGTACATAAGTAAGGAAATTTGAGAATGGAAAAGCTGAAGGCGTCTAGTTTGTTATACAATTTAGCTGTAAGTTGGCCCTTGCCAGCTATACTCAGTAGAATATAAGGCATTTCAAATTTTCAACATTTCAAATATGAAACTGAACCTGCAAACTCTGTGGTGTCTTTTATTACAACTTCATTCGAATAAATGGAATCGACTATGAATGAAAGTAACTAATGTTAATTAATAATACATCGTCCATTTATCTGTATGTCGCATGGAAAACCATAGCATTGATTTTCTTATTTTCAAATGTTGAAGTTTTGGATATCTTCTGTTTAAGAAATATAAAAAACATTTATCAGTTAATAAAGGACCACCGGAATTCAAACAGATTGTTGAAAGACCTGGTCTACGAAGACCACTTATATGTTGTCAATGTGGAACTCCAGCAACCTTTTAATCAGCTTCAGAATACTTGCATGTAGACTCAAAGTGATTTTAACAAAGTAATTTTGTTTATAACCAATCACATACACATGCATGATAATTCCGACTTGGTTGTATAAAATGCAGAAAAAAACGTACGTTTTGAAGTAACTGACTTCTGAAATATCTTCAGATTTTTAATTTACCCTTTCAAACTGTTTCATATTTTTAACTGTAAATTTTAAACTTCCCAGAGGAAATAAAGTCGGTTCACTTTTCCCAGTACCAGAAATGTGATTACTGTTGTTTTTACGTCTCTGATAGTATAGTACTAAGAATGCTAGTCACGCTGGAAATGTCAGTAGACACTGTAGAAACATTATCATGTGTATCTATTTTCCGTTAGATTTTTACTTCTGCCTAAATGGTTCAATAGGAGAAAATAAAAGCAGAAATAAACTTTAAAATGGTTGTATTTTCTTTGAATCTGGAAGATTAAAATAAGTTGATGGGAGTGTTATGTTTGACTCAGAAGAGTTACGTAAACGACACGATTTTAAATCGATAACAAACGATTGTATTTCATAGTTTATCGCAATTTACGACAGGAAGTAAGTAAAAATATTTTTAACCAAATACTTGAACATTCAAAATAATTTTTTCAATTAAAAAAGTTGTAAAATAAGTAGCATCCATTAATGAAACATATGGAGATAACGAACAGTATTCAAGATCAAAAATCCATAAAACAATACAAAATAGGAGCAGAGCTAACACGGGTCTCCAAAGCATCAGAAATGGGATCAGGTGCCGTGGAGGAGTGAGCATCCCCTACCGGTAACACCCGCCGTGTGCGCTTTGTCTTCATCGGGAAATAACGGGAAAATCTGTTGTCAATTCAAAGTATAAATAATGGACTAACAATTAGTATGAAAAACGTCAGTCAACATTTGACTCAATGATAAATTGTATTTGCTAACAAGGTCATTGTATCGACCATAGAACTTAAAAAATGATGACTTTAAACGAGACTGATGACAAACAAAGATACATTGCGGGTTCCAGTAAATGTTCAACCAAGCCTCTTTCGTTACTCCTCACTAAGATATTGACAGTAGTGAAGGAAAAACATCAAGAGTACTGTGCAACTATATATTCAAGAAGTGGTGTGAATCAGATGTGGATACTAAAAAATTCTAAAGAACTTGTGGACAATTTGAAATCACAAGATTTTACAAAAATCAACAGCTTCAAAACATACGACTTTTCAACTTTATACACAACAATTCCCCATGACAAATTAAAATCCAGGTTTTTTGATATCATTGACAGCTGCTTCTTCAATAAAAATGGAACTCGTAAATTTACTTACCTGGTCATTGGTCATTTGCAAAATTATTTTGTTAAAACAGATTCTGATTGCACACACAAGTACTCTGAAGTTGACATCAAGAAGATGCTTAAGTTTCTGATTGACAATATCTATGTGGCTTTTTGGAGACCAGGTCTTCCAACAATCTATTGGAATTCCCATGGGTACCAATTGCGCTCCGTTATTAGCAGACCTATTTTTGTATTCATATAAAGCAGAATTTATGCGAAATCTTATGCGTGAAAAGAAGAAAACGCTTTAGGCTTCATCTCGACTTTCAGATATATCGATGACTATTGTCAATTAACAATGGTAATTTCCATTTCTACGTCGATATGATATATCCAGGAGAGCTTGAGATTAAAGACACGACAGAGTCCGACACATCTGTTTCATGCTTGGATATTTTACTTGAAAAAGACGTTAATGGTAACCTAACAAAAGCATGATAAACGTGACGACTTTAACTTTTCGTGTGAACAATGCAGCAATATACCTTCATCACCTGCATACGGAGTGTATGTATCTCAGTTGATTCGATACGCAAAGCATGCTCTACGTATGAACAATTACTAAAACGAGGTAAATTTATGACAAGCAAGTTGATGAAACAAGAATATCAACAGTCGTTTAAAGTCAACATTTCGTAAGTTCTATGGTCGATACAACGACCTTGTCAGCAAATACAATTTATCATTGAGTCAAATGCTGACTGACGTTTTTCATACCAATTGTTAGTCCATTATTTATAGATGACGGATTTTTCTGTTATTTCCTGATCATGACAATGAGCACACGGCGGATGTGCCCGGTAGGCAGGGGGTGCTCACTCCATCATGGCACCTGATCACACCTCTGATGTTTTGGAGGTCCGTGTTTGATCTGCTCTTACTTTATATTGTTTTATGGACTTTGAGATTGAATACTGTTCGTCATCTCCATATCCTTCTTCATCAACTTGTTTGTCAATAATCCTCGCTTTAGAAATTGTTCGCACGTAGAGCATGCTCTTGCGTATCGAATCAACTGAGATATATAAACTCCCTACGCAGGTGATGAAGGTATATTGCTGCATAAGTAAGGGGAGTTGACGATAGAAAAGTTAGAGTCATCACGTTTATCATAGAGCTTGGTTGTTATATTACCATTAATGTCTTCTTCAAGTAAAATATCCAAGTATAGGCAACAGATTTGTCAGACTCTGTGGTATCTTTTATCTCAAGCTCAGCAGGATATATCGTATCGACATAGGAATGGAAATTACCATTGTTTAATTATAATTGACAATACGTCGTAGATATATCTAAATGTCGAGTTGAAGGCCACAGAAAGTGTTTTCTTCTTTTCACGCATAAGATTTTGCACAAATTCTGCTTCATATGAATATAAAAATAGGTCTGCTATTAACTATGACATGCCAAATTCACAAAAATGATATAATCATAGTTTACGATAAACTAGGGGCGTAAACTATAGTTTACAAACCGTAAACTATAGGCTTTATATTTCACATCTGTAAACGATAGTTAAGGATAATCTATGTTTCACAACCCTAAACTATAGAAAACAAATATATGGCGAATAAAGATTTTC